CCGCGCCTTCCGCGGGCCCTCCGACCTCATCAAGCACCGGCGCATCCACAGCGGCCTGCGGCCCTACGAGTGCGACCAGTGCGGCAAGGCCTTCCGCAGGAGCTCCGGCCTCAGCCGCCACCGGCGCGTGCACGGCGGCACCGGGCGCTGCGAGTGCGGCGAGTGTGGCCGCGTGTTCAAGAGGCGCGCAGCGCTGCAGAAGCACCAGCCCAGCCACCGCGACTAGCCCGGCCCGGCAGCCAAAGGAGATGAACGGTTCTGTAGCGCTTCTGTATCTTCTCGGCCCAGAGGTTGACGCCGACTTCCACTGCCACCAGCAATGTATAAGTGTCTGTGTTTCCCGTTACGCCCCTCGAGAGCAGCCGTTGCCATGTTAACCTAGTTGTGGCTCATTGAACTGAACTGGCAGAAAGGACTGTCAAGGCATTTAAACCCACATGCCTTGAATCCGAGAAGGAGAGGAGAGAGATCCGGCTGGGGGTGCACAGAGGGCTCGGAGGTTGTTTACTCCAGCCACACCTACCCCAAGACACACACACACAGAGCCACTCAGCAGTGACATCAACATAATGTGATCCCAGCTTTCCCAAAGGGAAGATTACCCCAAAGTTTTTTGGCCTACTTGAATTTATAAATTTTTAGGGATGTAAATAGAACACTCAAATGTCTTATAATATTTAATTTATTAATTTAGTTATGCATACATATTGTAAATCACATATTATATAGAATAATATATTAATTTAGAAAGTACCCTCTTTTTGCCACGCTCTGTTTCCTGAAATCATTTTATTCTAACTCCTCACGTGCATTTTTGACCTCAGCATCTTCACCGACATGGGAGTCCCCTTTGAGTCCTCAGACAGTTTCATGTCCATCCATTCGCTTCCATCCAGGCTGTGTGCAGTAGCACTGTGACAATCCCTGCATGAGGCTCTCACTAGAAGTTTCCTCCCAGGCCATATGAACAGATTCACATAACATTAGAATAATTCTTTTTTTAAGTTTGTCCTGTAACTTTGCAACATAACCACTTAAGGTGTTGCTTTCTCAAATGACCTTTAAAAGGCTTTTTAAAAAGCATCTAAAACTTGTCATTGTGAAGTCATACTCCCAGTAATAATTACCGAATCTGGGTTAAATGTCTTCTGTTCCTTTTTTCTTAAACCAATTTGCTTTGGTGACCCCTATACATATCCAAAACTAGTGTCGACTGGGGTTGTTTCAGGCTAATGGGTCTTGTCCTCAAACAGCACTATTTGGTTCAAAATAAAGTAGTTGAGAGAGCATCTCCTTCATAAGACAGACGTCTCAAGGAACTCAAGTGTAGGTGACACCTCCTCTTTGGGAACAAGAGCCTCTCTTCATACGAGCCCTCCATCTCCAGCTCTGTAACCCGGGGGTGATCACAGTACCTACCTCCCAGCTTATCATGAGGACTGCTGTCGTGTCTGCACAGCGCTGGGCATGCCAGCCTGGCATGGAGGTACACACTCAGTGAAGGTGACCTGCTGTCGGCATACTTATTGCTGTCATTCTACAGCTCTTAGTACCAGAACTGGGCATGGACCCCAGGCCTCCTGACTACGAGTCTCATCTTTCTCTCACGCAATGACTTCAATACTGTTTCCGTTTTCTTGCATGCAAATTGTACGTTCATCTCCTTTGACTAGTTATCAAGTTACCTTTGGATATATTGACTTTATACAGCAGTTCTTTCTATATTGATTGTGATACTCTCCCAATTTTATTGCTTTGCTCTTTGTAGCAGTTTTATTACATTTTTGTTGTGCAGGCTTTTAATTTTTAAGATATCCAAGCATTCATTTTTGTCCTTTAAGTCATAATTTTCATTGCTTCAGTAGTTAGATATGATGACATTGTCTTCTAGAATTTTAGTTACAAATGAAAAGTTGAAACCCCTGCCCACCGGAAGGTGAGTGCACCAGGTGGGCAGATTGGATGGGACTGGGCCAGAGAAACAGGCTCACTCCTCATGCAGGATGCAGACTGCATGTGCATCTGCAGGCAGCACTTGGCTATCCAGCCTGGCCACTCTGGCACACGAGACATACTTTCCTCGCGACTGGCCAGAATGCTCTGTGACTTCATCAGAATAGCATCAGCCGCCAGCAGTAGGACTTAGCCTTACCTACATCATGGGGTGGTCCAAGTTTGGTCTGGCAGCTACCCGGCCAATCCTTTGAGCTCCTGGGAGCCTTGGCAGTGCCCAGCATGGATTCCGGGACTGAACAGCAGATCCACCCGAGAGACATCTCCTTGGACTCAAGAAGACTCACTTGACTGACATTATCATGTGGACCACATCCTCCTCCCAGCCAGTGACTCTGGAACTAGAGTTTGGTGGCTTCCACTTTGGGCAAGTAGAGGGCAATTCACCTGTGTGTTCTGGAGTCACTTCCTGCAGCCACGCCTAAGGGGCAACAGAACAGAGAGGCTCGGAGAGGAGCCGTGCCCCTCCAATGGCTTGCACGTCATGCTGATGGAAGCTGGCTACACCAGGCCTGGACTATAACTTGCAGCAGCCATGCCCGGGAGGGGCAATAAAGCAAAGGATTGGAGGGCAGTGGTGCCCTTCTGATGGCCTGAGTGGCATAGAAATGGAAGCTGATCATCCTAGGTGGGACTGTCATTTCCAGCAGCCTCCCCTAGGAGGAAGAGCAGCGAGAGCTGGTGAGGAGCGTGGCTCCTCCAGTGGCCTGCAAGGACCACACATAGAAGCCAGCCACACCAGGCTGTGGCGTGACTTCCCAGCAGCTGGGCGCAGCGGGCACTGGAGTGCCTGGAGAGGAAGTTCGCCCTTCTGTGGGCCCACTGAGGCAAAGGTGAAGCTTCCCAGCAGGCCCAGCTTGAAAGGGTTTCTGGGGCCCCCATCCTGGGAAGCAAGGTCCGACGACCCCTTGACCTTGGTCAGAAGGGCCTCTCAAATGGCCCCCAGGCCACCATAGTGGCCCTATGTGCCATCTCCAGCCTGATCCCCAGGTTGGAGAGAAGCCAACAGCACTTGTTACATAGCAATTCCTTTTGCTCCATGGGCCTCAGTTCTTGCAGTAGTTGTGAATCTGTGTCTGGAATCACTACCTTCTTCTCTGATCAGTTTTCTCTTTTCAAGCTGTTAGGACGTGTTTTATACAGCTGTCATTTGGTAAGGAAGGTTGGCATCTACCAGGGGCAGGTCTGGCACCATCACCTAGAAGTACTCTGCAGTTCCTTGCCCATTCACTCATCACTTGTCGTGTTTTAAAAAGTGTCCTGCTAAAGTCTAGACACAGCATTAGCTGGGAACGTGACATAGTTCACACTCTGCCCAGCCGGGATGTGGCACCAGCACCCCTTCCTGCCCTCTTTTACTTCTTTCTATTTTCGGTTCTGTAATTTTCTCTCGAACAAATCCTCATTTAAAAGTAACACTAAAGATCTGTCTTTGCCATCAGTGTTGACAGAACGGCTTTTCGTGGTGTTTGTGGTGAAATCCGTGCTCTCTCCAAGTGCGGTCTGTGGCTTTACCGTGTGTCCTATAGTTTCGCCGAGTTCATTCTTGTGTCTGCTGACTTGGGGGTGGACTTCGCGGACTCTCTAGGTGTACCGCTGCATCATGCACAGTGTGGCCAGGCTCCCCACTGTGTGCACCTGCCTGTGCCACCGCGCGTCTGCCTCGTCTCATCCTGCTCGCCAGTCTCGCGCCTTCTGCTTCCAGGGCGGTGGGGAGCAGCGCGGTTCTGTGCAGTGCGGGCTCTCCTTACAAACAGGTCTTTTTCTTTTTGACCGTATTAAGAAACCCTCCATTGCTTTTATTAGAGTTTTGAACACTTGCTGACATTTTGAAAACAAAGTAATTGTTTACCATTTTTGCTGCTGATTACAATTAACCATTGGTTCGTGGTGTCATACCGTTCTTGCATTTCCAGAATAATCTCCACCCAACGGTAGTGGGCATCTTTCTCACGTGGTACTGCATTCCGTGTGCGTGGTTTTGTGCTAGAAGTGGCATGGCACTTGCCCTGCCCTCAGCCCTGGGCCATGGCCCCGTTGTGTACCATGTAACTCACCACCCCCTTCTAGGCCACATTAATGAAACCAGAATGGAACATCTGACCCAAGGGCGGCAACCAGCCATCAGAGCTAGCTGGAGACGATGGACTGGGCCTTTCAGGTCTGTGACACAATAATGAGGGAACAGAAGTTTCTAGTTTGTGTTGGAAGACAGAGGGAGCCATGCAGTATTTAAAGGAGTTTCTTCCATGGGTGGTACTGGGTTGAAGATCCGTGGGCTCCTGCTCGGCCCCCAGAGCTGCTTCCATCCCAGCATCCTGAGGGGGGCCTGGCCACGTGACATTCTTGAATTCCTGGCGACTGCCCTCATCAGTCCGTACATGTCCCCACCATAGACCCCGTTGACTCGAGCCCACTTGAGTGGTCCTGTGCTTTCTGCAACTTGTCAAGAGCCGGTTGCAGTTTATCACATGGCTGCTTCCTGAGAAGAATCACATTGCTGGCTTTCCTCCCCTTCCACCCAGCCGCACTCCTGGCCCAGGCCCACCTGACTGTCGTGAGCACCTGTGTGACTGTGGTACTGTAGTCTGTTCACTAAGATGGGTGGAAATCTATGCCTTATAGTCTCGGTGAGTTTAGCCAATGATTTTCTGTCTGGAACAAAGAAACCAATGATCTTGTTCCTTTACTGAACCCACGTTTGGTCCACGAAATGAGTGAGATCACAGCCCACCCTGTTCTCTATTTTGGAAGCATTTCACTATTCCTGTAAATCCATTGGTTTGGGGAATTGGTAACCTCTCTATTACTAGTATACTTACTTACATTTTGTAGTTCTCATTGCGTCAGCTTCAGTGTTTACTTTCAATAATAGAAACGGTCTCTTTAAACTTGGCCGTCAACGTTGTTTGCATATCTGAGCACAGAAGCTCTGTCCCAGCCCAGTTTGTATTTCCATTGTTGGCACTCTTTTCTCCTTCCCCCCATCTCGTTACCCTGTCTGTTGTATGGCGCTCACTGTAATCAGCTTGCACTAGAGCTGTTCGTGGACTTGGCTTCTCCCCTGCCCACTCCCCAGCCGTCCCCAATCCATTAGATTGTGAGCTCTTAGAAGACAGGGATGGCCCTTCATGTCTGACCCCTACCAAATCTAGCACAGTGCCTTGCATCGAGTAGATTTCAATAAATATATGTTAAATGGCGTTGGTCTTCCTTGACTTATTTTGTCAGTTTTGTTTATCAGTTCTTCCCTTTCTCCATGCCCTGGAGTTCTGCACTTGTCATTGGGCTTGGAGAACTGTCCCTTCTGGGGTCCAGGTGCCATCTTGGTCCCTGCTGGGATCCCAGCACTTGCTGCCCACCTGGTGTGGAGAGGAGGTGCCCTGATGGGGGAGGCTGCTTTGCCTGGAACCTTGAGCTGTCCCTTAGTACAAAGGGCCTTTCGTTCAGCCAGGTGCCTTCCCCCTCCTTGGCTAGGGCTACCCCGTGTCTGAATTCTAAGAGGGAGCAGAAGACAAAACTAGACCCTGAGCTCCTCTAGGGCCAGGGAATGGGGTGACAAATGGCTTCTGGGACTTGAGAGTCAGCCCACCTTTCCAGGCTGGGTGGGGGTGGGAGCAGGGATTTAGTCCTCTGGTGGCCAGTGGCTTGACCTCTCTCTGGTGACCCTTCCTAGTGCAAACAGGGCTCAGCTGTGGAGTCAACAGGAGGGAGCGACATCGTGGAGAGGAGCATGATTCCCCTCATTGACGCAGACTCCCCGGCTTCCAGCAGGGCCCAGGCAGCGCCCATGTCATCTTTCCTCCAGGGTCCCTTTCTCGTCATGTCTGTCAGTTCTACCCCAAATGCAGCTTCAGGTGGGTGGTGTCACACCATCCCCTTGTGAGTTGCTTCACCTACTCGACAGGGCAGTTGCCTCTCAATGCATCTGCCCCCAAATCTGATGCCTGCCCCAGCCCCAGCACGGCCCTCTGCGCTTGCAAGCCAATTGTTGGGAAAGAACCATTCATTTGCTTTTCTGGTCTCATGGTTCACTTGCTACGGAAAATTCCACCTATTTTTCCTTAAAACGTGTGCAAGCTCTGTTCCAGCAACTTCAGTTGTGCCACAGGTCCATTTGGACAGCTGACACTGCTGAAGGGGGTGGCAACAGCCTGGGGCTTTTCTCCAGGGTCCTATGGGCCTCTAGTAGGGGTTTGAGAATATTCCTTCCTGCCCCTCTCCTAGTGCCCCTGCCTCCCTAAGCCCTGGAGCTTCTCCAACAACACCCTCCCTAGAACACACAAGGCGTCTGATGAAACGGGGACATGCCTTTTGGCTCTCCTCTTTGGTGGAACATTCAAAAATCCAAAGTTATTGGAAAGGTCATGTGAGACCCCCTAGAAGTCTTGCTTGCCTAGGAGTTTGCAGTCCCCAGACCCCCATCTCATGGGCCAGAATCTGGGCCTCCCTCATTCCTCCACCCGGGTCTCCATCACACCCCTCAGCCGCAGCCCACTTGCAGCTCAAGCCCCCCCCGCCCAGAGGACGACTGGCACATAGATGGAAATGGGGCTTCTGCTTTGAGCTTTCCCTCCCCAAAAGTCTTCCGACCCATTTTCCTGAAGGTTCCAGAGCTGTGTCACAGTCCACCGTCACTAGTTGTCCAGTAGATACCGCGCGCCTTCTGTGTGCCCGCATGGGAGCACTGGGCAAAAAGGCACTTCAATCAAAAGCTGGCCACATAATAAAAAGCACGGCCCCCAATTTTTTTCAGGCAGGATAGGTCAGAAGAACCCTCTGCTTCCTCACCCCTCAGTCCTTTTCTGACCTTTATTCAATACACATTTGTTAAGCACCCGCAGTGTGCTGGGCCCCAGGGATACAAAAGCAAATGACAAGGTCCCTGCCCTGAAGGACAGCGCCAGAGGGAGACAGACATGTAGCCAACATGGCACCACAAGTGGGACCTACTTAAACATTCACCAAGTCGTACTCCTAGGATCTGTGCACGTTAGTGGATGCAAGTTACACTTCAACCATAAAGCTGCAGAGCCAAACACACACTATATTAGCAAATGGATCCTCCTCCCTTCATCCTCAGATCCTGTTGATTCTACGTCACTCTCCCACCCTCTCCATCCTTGCCCTGTCCCTGCCCTGTCAGCCTCTGCCTTTGCCCACCCAGTCCACAGCCTTGATCGTTCTTTCTGCACCTGGAGGTGAACTTTCTTCTGTCAACCTCCAGGGAAGATGGAGCCAGGAAGCAGCTGCAATGGACCAGTCCTTACCTGAGCACCCACCGGAGCTCCACGCTGCCCAGCACGCCACACCAAAGGGCTGTTCCAGCATTTCAAAGGCGGCCCCGCACGGTGCTGTGAGCTGGCTCAGCTGTGTCACTCTTGGGGACTGTGCCCCTAGTTCTCTGTCCATCCCTGTCCTCTCCCCACTCCTCAGACAGTCCAGCTTCCCCCAAAAGTTGAAGTCTGTTCATCCCTTTCTTCCGTGTTGTAAATTCTGCAGAGTTCCAAGGTCCTTCCTCTGGGCCACCATGGCCCATGTCTCCCTTATTGCACTACATTGTCATCGTGTGTCTGTCGGTGTCTCCCTTCCCACCAAGTCTCTTTCCCCTCTGAATCCCCCGAGCACCCCCAGGGGCCCCAGGCAGAGAGGACCCTAGCCACGCCCCACCCCTGGCTGGGAGGGGACTTCTCCCCCTCTGGGACCCCATGCTGCCAGACCCCGACCCACTACCTGTGAGTGGCCTGCACCCCGAGACTGGGAGCCCCCGTGGCAGGGTGTGGCCATCTCCTGGCGCCCAGCACCCAACCTCGGGACCAGGCCCAGGCCCGGTCCTCAGGACCCTGCAGGTACCTGGGGGATGGGACAGGATACAGCCTCACCCCGGGCCTCCCCTCGCCTGCCCCCGCAGAGGGAAGCGGTGGAGATGATGGATCAGATCGTCCGCTGGGTGTGGGAGGACCCATCTGGGCTGGGCCAGGGAGGCGAACAAGGAGCTGGCAGCCAGACACGTGGAGCTGGGCAACTGGTGCGCCCGTAGGATTCTGCAGCACGTCCAAGTATGGGCGCCGGGGAGCTGGGGGGCAGGGTGACCCCAGCCCACACCCCAGTCCCCGGGGCGCCTCCTCTGCCTGCACTTGCCCTCCAGCTTTACCATGGGAGACATGGGATGCTCCGGGCGAGGTGCGACCCAGGCTCCTTCGGAAGGTGAGGGCCCCACAGCAGGCAGGTGAAGAAGCCCCATGTGGCTGAGGGCTGTGTGAGGGGTCCAGAGCCCTGGGCAAGTCCTGAGAGCAGGAGATCTAGGAGGCCCCTAACCATCCCAGGCCTCTGTGGGCAGCCAGTGAGACAGAGGTGGCAGATGGGTGTCAGGTGCCTGGAGGGTGGGGGAGGGGGAGGCCTCAGCCTTGACTCAGAAGGTCCCCAAGCCCAGGAGCTGCCTGCAGGCTTGGCTGCCAAATGGCAAGGCTGAATGGTGGAGGTTGGGGGCTCTTAACTCTGAACCTCGAGAAGCCTCGCAGCACCAAGCCTGCTTTGGAAGGGCATTTAAGACGTGTAGCCAATGCCAAATGGCCAAGGCCAAAGCCCAGATTTCACCATCAGGAAATGAACTTCCAATATTCAATAATAATTATGAAATTTATTTCAAAACTTAACTGGTACTATAATTTTATTATCCATTCCATCCTCCAACTTTCAGAGTTGGCCTTCTGATGCAGGAAGCAGGCCTCTCTGCTCTGTCACCCGCGGCTGGCTCCTGGGACCCCTGTGCTGTGCCCTCGCCAGCTTTACACTGACTGGATTTCAGAAGTAAGGTTTCAGTGGCCTGTCCTCCAGAAGGAACTTTGTACCTAGAATGAACAGTTTGGTCAAATCTCAAAAACCCTTTGCCTTTAACTATTGAAAACAGTTGGCATCTGTGACAGTCACTGTGATAAGAATGCCTTCAAATTTTCAGCAATTGTTTTCCTAAAACATTTTGTAAAGCCTGATTGGAAGCTTTTTTAGTTGAGACTAAAATGTGTTTGAGAGCCTCATTCTCTTCTAATGTTTATTCTTTTCTTCATATTTTCATATACTTTATTCTGGAATCAGAGACAATTTATCAAAGACACAATTGTCCACAACTTTGGAGTTTTTCCTCCTGGAGATTCTGCTTTATTTGTTTTTGCAAGACGAGAATTCCCGATGGGACTTTTCCTGAAAAACGCTCACGACCTAAATGGAGTCAAATAACAAAATACTAAATTTCATTCTTTTGGGGAGGTGAGGGGGGCGGCTGGCCAGTATGAAATTTCATTCTTAAAATTTCTTTATTTAATGCTACAAATCCTGGTATACCAAACTGTTGAGTGAGATGATTATTCTGTCTTGTATTATTATTAAAAGTTTATGAACATTCTCTATGTATATTCTTTTAAATTTATTTTTAATTACACATGCAAAACATGAATATAATCTCTCTGGCCCCTCCCAATTCCCCCTTTCTGAGAAGATTGGTCCCGACATTTTTCTGCATATTTACGTGCTTATATGTACATATACATTAGAGAGTTTATCATGCTATATGTTTATTCTGTAGCTTAGTTTCATCACATAACTAAGCATGGCTGGGAATACGTTTTTAACTACAGCTCAGTATTCCATAGCACGAATGCAGCAGGATTTATTCAACCCTTCCCTTTCTCGGCAAATATTCAGGCAGTTTCCAGAGTTCTGCCAATGGGAACAGTGTTGCATGAGCAGCTTTGCCCCCATCCCTCTGCACAGGTATGAGCTGTAGGACAGATGCTGAATTTGGCAGGGTGACGCTAGATGACTTCAACAAAGAGACCTGCAGTAATGCAGAGGCTTAGAGAAGATTGAAGATTGTTCCTCTCTTACATAAGTCTGAGTCACGCAGTCCAGGTTGATGGGCAGCTCTGCTCCATGTGGTCACTCAGGGACCCCAGCTCCTTACATCGCGTTTCTCCTCTCTCCTCTGGGGCAGTGCTTCCCAAATCATCTATGGTAAAAGTTTATTTCACCCCAATCCATTGAGGACTAAAACATTTATAACATGCAATAAAGATGTCACAGTGATATTGAGTTGCTATAAAAGCTTCAAAATGCTCCCTCTCGATATCTGTGCTAATGTAGTCATGGGCCACTAACAAACAGCTTGTGGCTGTGCAGTGGTCCAGGAACTCTGTTCTAATAGCTC